AAAATTTGCAAATATGAATTTTGACTTTATTTGCAAAATCTCTCTAGAATTTGTAAAAATGGGCATAACTTTTGCATACTAACTCGGATGAAAAAGTTTTTATATGAAAAATCATCTACTCGAAAAGTTACATCCAAATTTAACCGGGGAAGCCGGTTAAACATTTTCAAAATCCTCAAAAACCTAACAGAAAAAAATTTACGGGCCTTTTTAGATCTAGAGTGGAAAAAATCAAAAAAAATTCAAACTGTGGTCAAAAAATGGTCAAACTAATTATTCTATAATATTAGTGTTACTAAATAATTATTTCAGCTATTTTGAATTTTGGTCAAATCTGGTCAAACTGTGGTCAAACAATGGTCAAACTGTGATCAAACAATGGTCAAACAATGGTCAAACTAATTATTCAAGAAATATTAGTGTTACTAAATAATTATTGTTTTTTAAAACAATAGTTTCAAACTCAAACAGTGAAATGTGTCACTTCATGCTCAAGCAAAATTCCTGAAGGTTAATAGGATTGACATCTTACTATTGTCAGAAAAACAACAAGTGGAGACTTGGAAACGAGGGAGAATAGAACCCGGAAGTTAAGCGTGCTCAGGCTGGGGGAGTGGGAGGATGGGTAACCGTTCGGGAAGTTAGATGATTTAGAATGATGAGGGGTGATTAGAGATTAGAGGATAAATTGAGCAGTGATGAGGGGTGGTGATTAGAGATTAGAGGTTAAAATAATTCAGAAATTTGAAAATAAAAAAAATTCAAAAAAAATTTCAAAAAAAATCGTAAAATTTCCTTTAGTCCCGGTTGGTGTTACCAACCGGGACTAAAGGTGGGGCTCCACGTGGCCGTGGCCTTTAGTCCCGGTTTGCTTAAGAACCGGGACTAAAGGGGAGAGGCATTAGTAACGACCCTTTAGTCCCAGTTCAAAAACCGGGACTAAAGGGCCTTACCAACCGGGACAAAAGCCCATTTATCTACTAGTGCAACCGCCCTCGTGCTCCGACTAATCACTTTGTCCTTCGCCCATTGCAATGCCCCGGCACGTCAGATCTAGCCCGTTCAGGATCTCCCTCGTGGGGGGCGACAGAGACATCGCCGCCGCTGGTGCAGAACTGGCTTTGCCCGACACACCCTCTCGTGGCGGTGAGGGAATGGGGAGAGGAATGAGGGGACCTCCAGGGGCGGCGTTATGTTTCACCTCCCAGTTGCGGCCAAATTTGGTGTTTTGCCCCTTTTGCATATGTTCGGCGAGATTTGACCCTGCTTTGCTATAATTTCGGGATCTGACTTTTTTCTATTGCTGGGGTCGATAGCGGTAGTGTAACACAGCCTACCGTCACGGTCTCTGGCGATAAGACTTAACAGCACCGTCATGTCTGTTTGACTTGGCGGTAGACTGTGTTACCCTACCGCCAAAGAGCATGGCGGTAGCAACGCTTAGCTGCAGACCGGCCACTGTATCTGCCATCCTGTGGCACCCTGTGGCACTTGTTCTTCACCTGTATGTCCCAACAACGACGGAGCAAAGTATCTGCCATCCTGTGGCACTTGTTCTTCACCTGCCCTGCTGCTCAACAAGTGTGTGTTGCATCACAATTCGGCCACCGTACATGCACCTCTGGACTACCCAACGCCTTGCGCCAATACTCATAATGCTATGGAAAATTTGGGATACACACAATAGGAATGTGTTTCGTAACGTAGATCTTGACGCTGCTAGAACTATCAAAAACATTATCACTGATCTCACAACTTGGATTCACTGACTGACGTCGAGCAAGCTCGGGAAGCACGCCTGTATGTGGCGTGACTCCCTTCCCTCGCAATCATCGTGATTATGTAAAATTTAAACTTAAAAAAATACTCCCTCCGTCCGAAAATACTTGTCATGAAAATGGATAAAAAGAGATGTATCTAGAACTAAAATATATCTAGATACAATCCCTTTTATTCATTTTGGTGACAAGTATTTCCGGACCGAGGGAGTAGATGAGTAGTAATATGATAGATAGATAGATAGATCTATTTGGAGTTAGTGAATTTAACCTCTAATTTGTTGATAGCTGTAACCGCATGATCCGCTCCACCTGGCTATAGCGACGTTCTCCGCATGCGATTTTAGGTATATTCAGGCGGGCCATGCATGGCTGATGATGAAAACATATAGTATAAAGAAAAAATACACTGATATCTTGAAGCATAACCAAGTACTCACTCCGTCCAAAAATACTTGTCGAAGAAATAGATAAAAATGGATATTTCTAGAACTAAAATGTGTCTAGATACATCAATTTCTCCGACAATACATCCATTCCTTCGACAAGTATTTCCGAACGGATGGAGTGTAATATTGGCAGTCTCCTATGGTACAATTTATATAGGGTAACTAATTAAAGGGTTCACTATAGGGAAGAAGTTCCAGTTGCACAAGGGAAGTACATACATTAGATAGAATCATACTTGCACAAGTTTGACCCTGGACTTTGCATGAAAATGGACAGAAGAAAAGAAACTAATAAACATGTGACAAAATAAATGCTCCTCCATGTATGTCCTTATGACTAAGTTCACTTGACCTGAATAACACAATAGTTCTGATAGATTTCTTCGTGTGTGGACAATTTTTAACAAGATGGTCCTTTGACATGAATAATAAATTACCACTTAATCTCTAAGGCCCATGTGGTGTGTCATGACATGGTTTGAAGTTCGGTAACACCACGCTAGTGGACGAAAGTTGAGGGAGTGATGCAAGCACGCTCATCCTCCGTCCCTCGCGAACATTGTGTTTCCTGAATGAACTGAGGCGAGCTCAAACATATGTCATGTGTGCGCGGTACAAAAGGACTATGTTTACCTTAGCAAAAAGTAAACTGTGGTCTGTACAAAGCTCGAGTAGAACACATCGGTTTGAAGATAATATTAGAACCTACAGACTAAAGAAGCATTAGCCCTTTGCCACCATTCCACGTTTATTGTTTTCATAGAAGAGAAGCATGCCACTTCTATTCAAAAGCATCTAAAAACAGGTTATTGTTTCAGAACATAAATTTTAACTGTTCATAATCCAATGCACCCATTTTCCATAAAAAAACATAAAGCTCATCAACGAAAGAATAGGATGGATATTGTCAGACTTCCCTGAGGCACTCACTACAATTTTGATGGCCTGACACCCTGCAACAATAGATGCTTAACCTTAAACAAAGCCTGAGGAACTGTCTGTCTAAACTACTCATACAGTCAATAATATTTTCCATTTTTACCACTACATCACATTGTTGCGATCATGCATAGAAATGCAGAAACGCATATATGGTTGCCAGTTTGACCTTACAAACTCCAAACATAAACGACCACTCATGGGTTAGAGCATCTTGAATACTAGAAGATGTAGATGCAAAACTAAATAACTTTTGCATCTCCGAGGACCAGATGATGTAGATGCAAAACTAAATACCAGATGATGTAGATGCAAAAAAAAATACATCTCTGCCTCCCGGAGATGTAAACTATATGACTTCGCATTGCAAATATACATCTCCACCTACATGAGATGTATATTTGCCAGTCGCGCGCCACATGCCGT